TGCATTCCTAGCCCAATTCAACTTTATGAGTACTTATGCAATGGGAATGTCCCATTTTATTGGTAAGTTCTACATACAATCTGTCTTTTTTCTCTACCATGGCCCAATCATGACCTAGGTGTCAGTTGACTAAAAGGCCTTTTCTCTGTCTTATGTATCCATTAGCAAATGCATCTTACTTTTGAAATAATTGCTTATACTGGAACATCCCCAAAATTTAATTTAATTCAGCAAATAATTATTAAGTTCTTAATATGTCTCAGGCACTGAAGATACAAAGAGAAAAATGAAAACCATTATTTTCCTTCAAAGAGAGCATTTTTCTTTATTTTTTAAATTGATGCCTTTTGTTTTTGCTGTCATTATTCCCTACATCATTGATTCTGTTCCTGCGTGACTACTGGTGACTGAAAACTCAATACTTTATGTGTGATATTTTATAAAAGAAATATAAAATAGGCCAGTTATATGTCAAGAGTTAAGAATAATTGGTGAGCAATCCTAGTATTGTCCCATTGTTCATGATATATTAGAAGAATCATTGCAAGGCTTTCAGTGCTTTGGATAAAGCCTATTTGAAGGATTTATAGAAAAAAGGAAAACTACCACATAGGGTGAAAGATCCCAAAGGAGAGGCCATCTACCATGGGGGAGGGAGTGCTCACATCAATGAGTTTATAGATTCATTGTTTGTCATCTTCCAGTGTTTTGCAGTTACATAGCCTTGTAGTTAGACTCATCTGCCTTATAGTTAATTACCGAGAGGAAGCTTGGAGAAGACCAGCAATCAGGAAACCCTAGGTTCAAATTCTGGCTCATGTATTAGGGATATGACCTGGGAAAGTCACATGATATTTCTCAAACTTAGTTTCCTTTACTGAAAAAATGAAAAGGATAATATCATTACATCTCAGGGTTGTTGTGTGGATCAGAAGACATAATGAGTATAGAATGCTTTATAAACCTCAAAGTATAATATGAATGCAAACTATTATTACCAAGGTAACTTCAATATCCTTTAAAAATAAGGACAATCCATTAGTTATACCTTCCTTCATAAAAGTTTTTTTTTTGAAGTTAATCATGATTAAGTGACTTGTCCAGGGTCACACAGCTAGTAAGTGTCTGAAGCCAGATTTGAACTCAGTCCTCCTGACTCTGGGGTTGGTGCTGTGTGCCATCTAGCTGCCACAATGTAAGAGTTTTTTCAAAATTAATTTTAATGTGAGATTTTCACCAAAGGTGAAGAAATTAGATGAGAAATATTTATTTAAAAATCACCAATGTTCCATGTAATGCTCTTTAAGACATATTAATCTAGAAATGTTTCTCTGAGGGCTTTTCCATTTGTTCATGACACAATGAAAAGGGTACTTAAGTCTAATCTTGAAGAAACTCTACTGGATCTACAAAGATGAAGCATTAGGCCTAATCCCTGTATTTTACCCTGGCATACAGTTTAGACCAGATTCAATCCTGGGCAACCTGAACTCTAATGAAAGGAGACTAGGCTTCCTCTTCCTATACTCTTTGACTCATTAGGTCCCATGCCCTGGGCCCTTGATAATGATTTTTTTTCTTTTTATTATGATTTACAGATAGGATTCCCCTCCCCCCCTCCCCCCAAAAAGCAGAGGGAAAACACAAAAAGTAATCGATGCATGATGTTTTATATATATATGCATGTGACAGGTAATTCAATAAAAGGTTTGATTACTTAATATCATTACTGTTATAATCTACTGGGAAGCTGATACTTAAATATCCTCAGAACATACAGCAATTTGCAGGGTTACTGCGTGGACATCTTACATTTCATGTCAGCTTGGCACTGTACAAAAAATTCCTGATGCACATATGCTGGTAAAATGGGGCAATCCTTTTGTTGGTAATCTTACTTCCAAGGAAACTAATGTAATTGCCAGAGATTTCTCCTCTACTGCCAGCCATCTCTTGCTCCTGTCATGATCAACTAGATCTTTCATTGTACTTCTGAACTGTTAGAATTCATGAAGTTGCCTCCAAGCCTGAACATACCCACCTTGGAATAGGTGCTGCTAGACCAGATTATCTAGATTGACTAACTTCATTAATTAAATTTGTTGGATCATTATTTTCTTCAATTTACTTGGCTTGTGTAGCTACCATATGTTATTGTTGGTTTTTATCCTTTGTTTTTGAAGAGGACCAATGATATCACAGGGTGATATCTTGATTCATGCAGGAATTAGATCTAAGTGAGGGAGAGATGCATAAAGTGGTCAGCCTCACTCTCTCTTCCCAAGTCATTGAGACAAAAATGAGGACAACTGGCAATGGCCCAGGATGTAGTGGATTACCTTGACATCTTCAATGTCTTACCAAGCTCTAAGTGCTATGCAGCACCTGATTCAGCCACCTTCATAGCCATTGGCATTCTTATCCAACCAGTCTGCTAGGAAAAGTCTTCACATGTTGAAGTAGACACCTTTCTAACTCACTGATGGATTTGAGGCCCATCAGTTACTCTTAAGCTGATTTAGCCCATCTGCCAAGACGGTTTACCCAAGTGTGGCCACCATGCAGGAATGAGCTTCTTGCAGTCTTGAGAGTGGAGTACCAGGTAGATACCAAAGGTGGATGAACTTCCCTGAAAAGAGCTCAGTAAACCTTCACACCAGAGGTGCTAGTACTCCTTGAGCACCTCATACACTTCAGTTAACATATAAGAAAATAATGGAGCTGTGTAGCCTTGAGCTACATTACCTCTTTCACAGATTTTAAATTAAATTGTAACAAAACTTAGAGTCTACTGAGTTCTACATTGTACAAAGGAGGAAACTGAAGCCCAGAGAGGTTGTGATACACAAGTAGCTATAGAGTTAGATTCAAACCCATGCCTTTTGACATGTCCATCAATTTTTCTACTATACTACATGACCTTGATGTACTCAGAATAAAGATTCACAATAATCAAGCAAATTTGGTTGCTATTAAATATTATGTGCTTTGTATATTTATTCTCTAGTGGCTTATTAGAGGCATCTAGGTGGCACAAGTACAGAACCATGACTCAGAAAGACCTGAATTCAAATCTTGCCTTAGACACTTACACTTGTGTGACCTCTATGTGCCTCAGTTTCCTTAATTATAAAACAAAGGTAATAATGACACATATATCCTATCCTAGAATTATGGTGAAGATAAAAGGAGACAATATTTGTAAAATGTTTTATAAACCTTAAAGTGATATATAAATGCCAGCGGCTATTATTAGCTATTTCTTGATTTTCTACCATCAAATACCTCAACTTTTTTAAAAAGTTGAGTTAAGCTACAGTTAAGCCTTGATGTCTGGCTCATGGCAGTGATTTCTCAGGTGGAAATTATGTTACATAAAAATGTGATTTGTTGGTCACCTGGTGTAATAAAATTTTGTAAAACAATTTCTTAATCCAAAATGCTGTTTTTCTTCTTCAAAACATTTGATTGCCATTTTTCTTTAACCACAATTTTTAACAAATCACATGATTCATTGATGGGCTAAGCAGGCCTATGTTGCTTTATTTAATGATACATTTACTCAGGATCATTTAGTCTGAACCTGCCATCTGGTTTCCAGTGGGGTTGCCATACTTGAAAATCACATAATTTTCTGACTTCCAAACCAGTAAGCAAAATTGCTGTAGGTATACATTGATTACTAAGGCATCAGTATCTCAATAATGACTTAAATGCTATCCACAATTTCTATCCAGAAATCCTTCAGTAATGTTCTTTAAACAAATTCCTATCTAAAAGTTACATTTATGCTTATTCAGTGGAATGTCAGCTGAATGTCAGTCACTTGGTCAAATCCATTGCAGGTTCTTGGGGATGTTTTTGGATTTAGAATGTTCACATTGTCTAATTAAAGAGAAATGTTCAGTTAACACAATGGTTTATTGTCTTAAATTTGAAGACCCACAGAATATAAACATAGCATGATTCTAGTATTCCAGGATGTGGTTGACTGCATGGACATGTAGGAAGAAGAGGATTAGTGAGTCAAAGATAAATCTAGGGTTTTGAAATTGAGAAAGAGAAGAATGGGTTCAAAACTCACTTTGATGCTTATTAATCATGTGACCTTAGTCAAGTCATTCTAATCTCCTTGGATCCCAGTTTCTTCCTCTGTAAAAAAAAGGAGTTGGATTAGGTGATCTCTAAAGTCTCTTACAGCTCTCAATATATGATCTTATAAATGAAAATGTTGATTTCATTGGAATTTCAATAGATCTGTGGTCTTATTGATGTGGGCACTCCTTTCAATGATTCGTATTCCAACTCATCCATCCTTTCTCACCCTGTGTGACTCTTACGTATATCCTTTTATAAATCCTCCTCAAGAGGATTCAGACAAAGTTTTGGGATTTTTCTTTAGCTCTCTTGACATTGTAAATGGACTGCCCATCAATTTTCCTTTGCTCTCATAATATGGGTAGTTTACTTTTTCTGATCTCATGTCTCTATGATGACACCCTTTATACCACTTTAGAGAGGAAACTAAATCAAGATCTTAAGTTTTAGGATGTATTTAGTACAGATTGATACTAAACATTCTTTGGTACCTTGCATGGAGGGAAAAGATAATTTAAAGTAGACATAGGACAGTATTCTCTCATGACTGGTAAATATTGAAAATACTTGCAATAGGACATAAATTTCCATATTGTTTTTCTGTAGCTAAAACATAGAAATAAAAATCTCTATTTATGAAAATAAACATATCTTCCAACTATTCAATTTAAGGACAAACATTTATCAAATGCCTGCTATGTAAAGTCACTTTGCTAGGTGCTGGAGATACAAATACAAAGAATGAAACAATTGTGACTAGGGATTGCTATATTCTATGTATTTATATCCTCCACAATAGTCTGTCACACAATAGGTACTTAATAAATACTTGTTGATTGATTAATACAAAGACCACAGAACAAATAAGTAAGTAACTCTTCCCTTCAAGCTGCTTACATTTTCCTGGGCTGTGGAATGGAATGAAATCTTTTAAATTAAATCTGCAAAGGAACAATATTGGACTTAGTTTGGTATAAGAATAGAAAAATCAAACACAAAACAATTAAACAATTCGCCCCAATAAGTTGTGTCAACATAGTTGACACACCCTACTTAAGGCCTGATTAACTTGGTATATGAAGGAGTGGATATGCTTTATTATCAGAGGTCAAAGGACACTTGGTTTGGAAGCAACCTTAGAGTTCATCCAGACACTAGGGATGGTGAAACCAAAGCCTAGAGATAGTGCCTGAGAGAGCTCCTAAAGGTAATACAATGTTTTAGTGATAGTCATGAATAAGATCTCAAATTTCTGACTCCTTCAATATTTCATTTATAACAACATGCTACCTATGAGACTTTATTAAGGAAGACAAATCATTTTGGTGGTACAATACTAAACCTTTGAGGCTAACCTTAGGAAGTGTGGCCCTCCAAACTTCACAGAACAAATCCAGGGTCTGTGAAGTTTGGATTCACTCAAAGGACCACATTTGTGGACCTAGAGGGCCACATGTGGCCTGAAGGCCACAGGTTCCTCCCCCCTGGTCTAGGTAGACCCAAGAAGCTTAACTTGCCTAGCTATTCTTAAGTTCCTATGTTGTAATGTTGGCAAGGATAACAGTTCATTACATCTATTTCTATGAATCTCCTCCCAACTAATAATTTCTTCAGTTACCTCACCAAGCTATTTGTTGCTGCTATTGGAATGAGGAAAGATAGAAGGAAGACAATTTTTCTCTTTCTTTCTTTCTTTCTTTCTTTCTTTCTTTCTTTCTTTCTTTCTTTCTTTCTTTCTTTCTCTTTCTTTCTTTCTTTCTTTTTCTTCCTTCCTTCCTTCCTTCCTTCCTTCCTTCCTTCCTTCCTTCCTTCCTTCCTTCCTTCTTCCTTCCTTCCTTCCTTCTCTTCTTCTTCTTGTTTCTGGCTAGGCAATTGGGGTTAAGTGACTTGCTCAGGGTCACACAGCTAGTAAGTGTCAAGTGTCTGAGGCTGGATTTGAACTTAGATCCTCCTGACTCCAAGGCTGGAGCTCTATCCATTGTGCCTCCTGGGCTGCCCTGACAATTTTTCTACATAGTGAAGCAAATCCCTTCTATTTTCATCGGCAAACTCCAGATTTTATTAGCTAGGATACCCTTAAGCACTCCCTAGAATCAAAAGCAGCCACTTATTTCTGTAGTATTCCTTCTTAGTCCCATTCCTCCTTTCACCTTCTCAGCTGATCTGTAACTTGGCTTTCAAGGAGGAAATAATGGCAGGGGTGGCCATAAATGTTCTCAATGTGGAATTTGGGGACAAATGTCCTGACTCTGAAATGACAGGTCTCCCAAGGGCAGAAGTGTCTGTCTGAAATGCCTGATCTAGCAGAAATTCTCATCTAGCAGATACATTTGAAGTCACCAATAAACTCTTAACAAGAGGAAATAGGCCAATTGATGGAGATGAATGTGGAAGTTAGATGGCTTCATACAGCTCTATGAATTGCACAATCTTGAATCAAATCCCCGAGTTTGCCATGTCATCAGTCTGAATGGCCATGTGAGAAAGAGCATTTATAGGTTTGTTTCTTTATTGGTCAGGATCAATGGAGAGACTGCCAGAAATGACTAGACTTTAATTTTGTATTTCTCATTTTAAAGAACCATAGTATGTAAAATATCTTACAAATGTTCGTTGCTAAATATAAAGTTTTGACTGCCATAGGGCAGAATTGAAAAAGCTCCTGATCTAGTTGAGATTTGGGTTCAAGTCCTGGTTCTGTTTTTTACTAGCTATATGAACATGACGCTTAATGAAATCTAATTTCCTCATTATTAAAATTGGGATAATAATACTCTCACTACCTATGTCACTAGGGAAATAATGAGGAAAAACTACATCCTATGGGAAAAATCCTTTACAAATCCAGTTGACTGACTAGTTAACTCACTTAAACTGCTATATAAAAATGAGTTATAGTTTGAGTTTGAATTTATAATATAGAATAAATTTATCATTTTAAATGCCTTGTTTATATCGGTCAGATGAATTTCTATGCGCTTTTGATTCTTCTGTCTTGTTGGGATAAGTAAACTATCAGGTAAGAAAGAAGATAGAATCTAAGAACGAGATTTTTTGCATTTGTGCCTACAGATCATAGAAGTTGTTTTGTCTTGGGGGTGGAGCCAAGATGGCAGAGTGAAAGTAGTGACTTGCTTAAGGTCTACCCCTCCAAATACCTGTAAAAAAATGGCTCTAAACAAATTCTAAAGCAGCAGAACCCACAAAAAGACAGAGTGAAGCAAATTTCTAGCCCAAGACAACCTGGATGGTTGATCGGAAAGGTATATCTTGTGGGGAGGGGAGAGGAGCATAGTTTGGCATGGGCGTGCAGGCTGCAGCAAACCGGGAACAGGCCTCAGAAGACTGAATCGCGGGCAGCTGCGGCAGTTTCCAGACTTCTCAACCCACAAATACCAAAGACAACTTAGAAGGTCAGTGGGAAAAGTCTGTTTCCGCGGTGAGGGAGCAGCTAGGTCTCAGCCTCAGTTCCCCAGCAAATGTGGCCCAGGGCAGTGGCTGCCTCCTGAGCTTCCAGCCCACAGACTGAGGGGGAATCAGGTGATCAGAGGGGGATTGCAGGGATCTCTTTGCCAGTGCCGAGTCAGGAATCTCTTGCTTTGCCCGTGCTTGGATCTGGGTCACAGTTCTGGCCAGCAGTCCTGGGGCAGGGAGGAATGCTGGCATGGTGGAGCTTGTAGTGTCTGGGGAGAGGAAATTCTCACAGTTCCAAGACAGAAAAGACTGCTTGTGGTCACTAATAGACCAGAGCACAGGCCAGGAAAGGAGTAAACACCTCGACCCTTATCATACCACCTTGGAAGAACTGAAAATTTACAGGTCCCTACAAGTGTCTCTGAAAACAGCTGTAGAAACCCCTGAAGCTTGGGACAGTACATTCTCCCCATTGGAAGCAGACTCTTGCCTTAACAAAAAGTTTAAAACTCAAGTAATTGGCTGGGATCATGAGCAAACCTCACAAAAAGAGTCAGCCTATATTATCTTACTTTGGCAACAAAGAAGATCAAAACATACAACCAGAAGAAAACAACAAAGTCAAAGCTCCTACATCCAAAGCCTCCAAGAAAAGTATGAACCAGTCCCAGGCTTTGGAAGAACTCAAAAGGGATTTTGAGAAGCAAGTAAGGTAAGTAGGGGAAAAACTGGGAAGAGAAATGAGAGTGATGCAAGAAAATTATGGAAAACAAGACAACAGCTTGGTAAAGGAAACCCAAAAAACACTGAAGAAAATAAAACTTAAAAAATAGCCTAACCCAAATGGCAAAAGAGGTCCAAAAAGCCAATGAGGAGAAAAATGCCCTAAAAAGCAAAATTGGCCAAGTGGAAAAGGAAGTCCAAAAGATGACTGAAGAAAATACTTCCTTAAAAATTAGAACAGAGTAAGTGGAAGCTAGTGACTTTATGAGAAATCAAGACACTGTAAAAGAAATCCAAAAGAATGAAAAATTAGAAAACAATGTGAAATATCTTATTGGAAAAACAACTGACCTGGAAAATAGATCCAGGAGAGAGATTTAAAAATTATTGGACTATCTGAAAGCCATGATCAAAAAAAGAGCCTAGACATCATCTTTCAAGAAATTGTCAAGGAAAATTGCCCTGATATTTTAGAAACCGAGGGCAAAATAGAAATTGAAAGAATCCACAGATCTCCTCCTGAAAGAGATCCCCAAAGGAAAACTCCTAGGAATATTGTAGCCAAATTCCAGAGTTTCCAGGTCAAGGAGAAAATATTACAAGCAGCCAGAAAGAAACAATTCAAGTATTGTGGAAACACAATCAGGATAACACAAGATTTAGCAGCTTCTACATTAAAGGACCGCAGGGCATGGAATATAATATTCTGGCGGGCAAAGGAGATAGGATTACAACCAAGAATCACCTACCCAGCAAAACTGAGTATACTCCTTTAGGGTAAAAAATGGTCATTCAGTGAAACAGAATCAAGCATTCTTGATGAAAAGACCAGAGCTGAATAGAAAATTTGACTTTTAAATCCAGGACTCAAGTGGATCATGAAGAAGTAAACAGGAAAGAGAAATCATAAGAGACTTATTAAGGTTGAACTGTTTACACTCCTGCATGGAAAGATGATATTTATAACTCATGAGACCTTTCTCAGTATTAGGGTAGTTGGAGGGAAAAATATATATATATATATATATATATATATATATATATAGATATATAATATATAGATATATATATATAGATAGATGATAGATAGATAGATAGATAGATAGATAGATAGATGATAGATAGATAGATAGATGATAGATAGATGGCACAGGGTGAGTTGAAGATGAAGGGGTCATATCTGGAGAATAAAATTAAGGGATGAGAGAGGATTATACTGGGAGAAGAAGAAAGGGAGAGGTAGAATGGGGTAAATTATCTCATGAAAAAACAGAAAACAAAAAGTTCTTACATTGGAGGGAAACAGGGAAGGTGAGAGGGAATCAGTGAATCTTATTCTCATAGGATTTGTCTTAAGGAGGGAATAACATACACATTCAATGGGGTATGGAAATCTGTCTTACCCTACAGGAAAATAGGGGGGAAAGGGGACAAGAGAGCAGGGGATGATAGAGGGAGGCAGATTGGGAAAGGGGTAATCAGAAGCAAATACTTCTGAGGAGGGACAGGGTCAAAAGAAAGAATAGAATAAATGGGGGGCAGGATAGATTAAGGAAATAGAGTTAGTATTTCACAACATCTCTACTATGGAAGAGTTTTGCATAACTGCACATGTATAACCTATATTGAGTTGCTTGCCTTTTCAATGAGGGTGAGTGGGGAGGGAGGCAGGGAGAAAATTTGGAACCCAAAGTTTTAAAAACACATATTTAAAAAAAATGTTTTCACATGCAACTGGGAAATGGGGTACAGAAATCTATCCTGCCCTACAGGAATGTGATAAGAGAAGGCGGGGAGAGATAGA